CACACACACACACACACACACACACACACACACACACACACACCTCTCTCTCTCTCTCTCTCTCTCTCTCTCTCTCTCTCTCTCTCTTGCGTGCGCGCGCTATCGAGCGCATCGGCCCTCGCGTGAACGAGGGCCCTCCCGGCTATGTCACGCAGGAGTTAGAAAAACATAATCGAGAGATAACTTAGGACGATGCAGAAATAATCCCGCGAACCTCCGAGACGGACGAGGTCGCATTGTCCCTTTGCCGCTCTAGCCGGGTGCGCCAACTATACATCCCGCGGTCCCCTACGACAGGATAGATTTTCGCGGGGCACAACTTATCTTCCCTGAGGGGCTGTCACCACCCTCCGGGGTGTATCCCTACCGAGCTACTGACCCACGTGCGAAAGCTTTTACATGCAATTGCAGAGGTAGGTCAGGCGAGGGCGTTTGCTTGCTCGCTGGAGTATAGGTACGCTTGGCTAACGCCAAGTGGACCCGAACGTTGTTCGTTCCCGAGGGCGCTGATCTCCTCAGTACGAACGAGCGTCGGTCGACTAGGACGGCCTCGACCAAACGCGAAATCCAACATATAATCCTAACCCTTTTATAATCCCCTACTTAAAAAATGAACGAAACCAATACATAACCAACATTTCGACTTGATGAGATGATATGCCAAGGTTATCATTTCCTGCCTACCTAACTGAAGAGACAATTATACCGTCATCCGAGGACGGAAGATCCGTCGCGCACAGCCTCTACAAGTAAATACATGCAGATGAACAAGTGATCTGCTTCGTGGTCGATGTTTAAWYTCCCGGTCCGACCGCACCGTCGTACCGCACGCACCTACTTGGAGGAGCGAATGWCAATTTTGTTTGTCGCTTTGTCCTCCTAGRCAATAATTWYTCTCTCTGTTCCACRAATGACRAAGTAGCCATTGCCAACACCAGGTTACTTGGCGTGGGACTGTTTCGTCTTCTGTTACCCCGTCCTCGTAGTTCCGCTCGACACCTCTTCAAGTGTTCGGCTTTCGCTTTGTTCAGCGTATTTTTAARTGGTTGATTACCCCTCAATGCATCAGCATGATAGTGCTATCATCGGGGCAATCCAGATACTATCCATCTGGTTGGCCTACCTACWCAAGGTCGTTGTTTTTTTTTGTTATTATTACCCTTGTAGAGTCACATAGGCGTGACCCTACTATAAGGACAACTCACCATGACACCAGATTTGAGAGGRTGCGCTTAGCCGGGAAAACCCTGTCGGCCCTCATGGGCCTCAGCCTCTATCCGGCCGAGTCGTGTTAGCTCCTCGTCGTCAAAAGTCAAGGTGGAGACACGTCCACCTCGCACAACTCGGACCTTCCGCGTATCATAGAGAGAAGTCATCCGTGAGGCGAGCTTCTAGACTATGGCGCGGAACGGCTGATGCATCCGAAAAAGGTGCGTGGTCGTGGTGTCCTTAATCCGGATGACGCCGTAGCGCTTCCCGGATACGGTGATTTTAACGCTCACAATGATCCGAGAGAGGCATTGGAGGTTGCTCGCGCGATGGAAGTACAAGGTATATCCATGAACTTCTCCCAGAAGTCGGACCACATTGGCACGAACATCTGCGCGCGAGTTGGGAAAAAATCCCCGCCCATCACTGAGCAGGCCGATAAAGCCAATCCATTGTGTGGGTGCTCCATTCTGAACCAGTAGTAATTGCTCCGCGCGCCGGATCACCTCCTCGTCCATAGTGTCGCGAATCAGTAGATACCTGACCTGAGGTCTCGCCGTCCGCTAGGCATCTGCACACCGAAGAAGCTACCTGTTAGAAGAGGCGCTCATAAACTTCACAAGCCTCGTCATAAAATGCAGTAACGTCGAAACGTTCCGAGCGAATGATATTAAATCTATTCGCTCGGACCCGTCTCACATGATGAGGGAGGCCGAACGGACCATGCAAATCGTTCAAATGGAGTGCAATATGGAGGAACATCCCCCTAACCTCGGGAATGTTCTCTACTCCCGGACAGTCCTCGTGAACCACAACTAGGTTCATGTCTCCATAATCTCGTAATGGATTWGGAGGCGCAAAATCATATCRCACAATACGCTGGCCTGRCTCAGCCAAGAAAATATAACTCCGCGGTGGTTTCCTCACGCTCCCGTCCCAGAATCGTGGCACATCCCGTTCCGAGTAAACCTCAAGGGGGTTGTACACCAGCCTTCCTTTTCGTGTCATGCCGGCGCGGGATCGTGTCGGCACCGCTAACCAATTAGCCGCTGCCTCGCGTGTGCTGAACAGTCGGAGGATCACCGTCTCCGCAAGCATCTGAACGACGAAGCGGTAACTCTCTCAAAATAAATTTAGATATACCCGTTTTCATATTCAATCTCCACTCCYCTTTTTKGGYTGTGATTCTTGTGTCACGGTCCATCCGCGAAAGTAGTGCCTATTTGCACTTCTTTTAACTCTAGTTGAGCCACGGRCTGAGCTTCTTATGGCACCGGTCCTCCCACGCGTTGGTGGCTCCTAAGGCGGCCACCCAGCAGGGTACTAGATTCAGCCTCCCCTTTCCCTGAAATTCCCTGAAAGCACGAGGAGGCGACTGCTCCTAGCTTCAAGACACCCTACCCTCTAGGAAGTGGTTTGGAATACCCCTCCCCCTCGCCCGAACACRTTGTTGAGGACTCAGAAGTTGGGCTGGCTCCACCGCAACAGCATGGTATCCCCCCGCATAAGCGGTCCGCTCCGAGTCGATAACAGGGCCGGCCCCTAAGGCGACGAACCCMCGCCTCGGATGCCTCCTAGAGAGAAGAAGCCTAGACCCTAGGTGCAGACGACCGCTCTATGCCTTCTCGGCTAAGGGGCGACTTAGACGAATTGAGAAGAGAAAAAGGTGAGATATTTTGGACGGGCATAGAAGGATAGTGGTCGTTAGGGATAGAATGGGGAAATCCTTGGGAAGATACTAAGGTGTTTCCTTGTCTTCTTTTAATTTTCCCACAACGTTCATTCTTCTGGCACCCGTTCGTTCGCACTCCCGTTATTATTTTTGTTCATCTTCTTTTTCGTCACATGCATTCATGTTGAGTGAGAGAGAGATAAGCATCCCTATTATTATCTCGAGCAAACAATGCTGATTCCTTCTCACATGCATCCCCCAACCTACCTGCACAATCAAGAAAAGAAATAATCAAGAGATTCATCCATCCCTCAAACAAGTCAACCCTTTCTCCACACGCATGACATCACACTCTCACTCTACCCCTTCCCCTGAATTCAAAGCAAGGTCATGCAAGGTGTGGGTTCACGCGGGTGTGCAAAGGAGCTGAGTCGCACTGACCTTGAGTGAATTTTTTGAAGGCTCACTCAAGAAAGCCAAGTATTTGCTGAAAAAAGTTCGGCCGCAAAACTCTCGTTGTGGCCACTCACAAGGATGGGTCATACCCTCCTTCAACCGCCACCTCTGACYYAGGCGCCGCTCACCAACACAGAAGCGAGCCCGCCGTTGAGGAGGGCGTCACACTCTCAAATCCCACAGTCTCAATGTCACACCTTCCACCAAAGACAGCACCGATTCAACCCACCAAATACCAAGCCAGGCCACCACCTGCCTGCCACAATACTTGGTGGTCTCGGACCCAATCCCYGCTTACTAAGYGTGCCGCAAAAAARTAACAGCGGCCTTAACAGTCCTTACRGGTACCGCGTGCCGCAACGTCCTCAACAAGACGATCGCCACACCCTTTCTATTACAAAGTGCACTTCCACCTTGGCRGTATCGTCCTTGCGGCAACKTCCAACCCCCCTTCTCGCAGTCCTGTGCAAAATACTGTTGCCACACAATCCAGTAGCACCCGCGCCGTACCGCCAAGAAAATCGRTGTTGCCGCTGCAAGAATTCGGCAGCGCTTCCGCTGTACCGCCAAGAAAACCAGCGCTGCCGCCGCACAATTTCGGCAGCGCTTCCGCCGTACCGCCAAGAAACCAGYGCTACCGCCGCACCGTTTCGGCAGCGYTTYCGTCGTACCGCCCAATCCAACAGCAGCCTCAAGGCTACGGCTTCCCCACAGCCCGCAAYACATTACGGAAGGTGGGGCAAGAAGCTCCTAGCCTTTAGCTATGGCTGCCTCCTCCTTCCTCCAAGTGCTAYTGCAGACCTCCAGCACTTCGCCTCCTCGCACCAGCAGCCAGCCAGCMAGCATCTACTCAAGTAGAATGCCCCAGCAGCATTGCCAAAAGTGTGAGGGTGTTGGGTGGCAGGCTAGCTTTTATAGTTGGCTGAAGGCTGAGGGCAGCTACTTTGCCCCCAGCCAAATCTCGGAACAGAGCTTGACCCTTGATCAAAATCGCGATCAAGGGCCAGGAAAACTTGATATTCCCCTAGGGGAACCAAGTCCTAAGCCTTGG